GTACTGGGAATTGGTTCTCAAAACACACAATGTACAAGTGCATCAAACAAAACTCTGTCACTACACCCATCTAAACAGAAGCTTTGGTTGTCAAAATGTAAACATCTATGTATATACAAGGCAATTAAACTTACAAAGTAAAGTTTTTGTGATGACACCTATGTTGAATTATAAAACACACTGCAGAAAGCATGCAGATTCTCTTAGAATTTTATTTTTGAAGCATCATTTCTTTTTATTTTTTAAAAAATTGCATTAATTTTTTAAAATAAAGATTTATTTATTTATTTATACAAGCACTGGGTACAGTCAGAAGCGCGGGAGGGTGAGAGAATCCACTAGAGCCAGAGCAGGGAACAGAACAGGCAGACTGACAAAGTACACTGCTGAGGGGAGCAGCGGGCGTGGCAGGAGAGGTCTGCTCGCCATGTGGGACCCTCCCTGGTGGCCAGGGATCGAACTGGCACTGCAGAGGCTGCAGGCAGCTTCGCAACCCAGTGCTCAACCGCTGCACCACCAGGGGAGGCCCTGCATTAATTTCTATGTAATTTTAGAAATCATATACAATGCTGTATATGATTCAGAGGTATAGGTTCATACCTCTTCAGATGTTACTACACCACACCTGCTACCAAGGCACCATAGTCTTCCACCAGAGTCCATGATCCATCCTTCATTCCTCTTTCTCTGCTCCCTCCCTCCATTCCTCCCTCTGTCCTTCCTTCCCTTTTGTGGCACAGAGTTTTAAAGGGCTTTCTTGTATTTCATGGCATGAAGTTCTATTTTTTTCCTGTAGACAAATGTTTAAGGACTCCCAACACACCAAAACAAATTTTACATTTACCTTTTTTTTTTTACATTTATTAATCAGTAAATGTTAACATAAAATAAGTCTGAATAATAACACTTTCTGAACAAATGATCTTAGGCTTTAAGATAAGCCAAGTGAGCTAAATTTTAGTTAGAATAATACAAATGTAAAGACTGAAGAGGGGCTCATATTTAAGTGTATATTATAGAAGGATTCAAATAATTTAAACACTTAGATAAAAAAACAACAAATGCATTATGCATTTATTGACATATCTGCTATTAAAAACTTCCATTATTCTTATTATTTTTTAAAAGATTTATTTATTTGTATAAGAGCTGGGGTACAGGCCAGAGGTGCAGGAGGTTGAGAGGATTCACCAGAGACAGAGTGGGGAGCAGAACAGGCAGATGGATGGAAAGCACTGCTGAGAGGAGCCGCAGGCCGGTGGGACAAGAGAGGTCAGCCACACCATGTGGAAATCTCCATGGCCCACCAGGAATCTAAACAGTGTGTGGAGGCTTTGGACAGCTTCATAGCAGGACGCTCTACCAGCTGCGCCAAGGGGGTTGTGGGGGCAGGCAAAAACTTCCTTTATTTATAATTGATTTTAAAATGATGGCTTAATGAACTTGAAATAAAACGAAGTTATGCAAAGAATTATTGCGTGCTATACCTTCCAATCAAATGTATAATTGCATTTAATCCTTACAACTAACTTGTAGACTAGGTACAATCATTAACCCCATTTTACAAATAAGGAAATTAAGACTTAAGAAAGCTAGTTGGAGAAGGGCTGAAAGTGAGCGCCAGAACTGGAAGTCACACAGCTACCTGGTCCAGAGCTATCAGAAGATTAAATAAATGAAGACACAGTAGTTTTTAGAGCACCTGGCAGCTGAGGTAAGAAATTAATAAATATATGTTAGTTATTATGACTTTTCTATAGCAGTTTCTGCTTCTACTTTTCTTTCTCTATCACTGACAAATGCCTCGCTTATTGTAATTCTTCCATTAAAGTTGAGGATAACATTGAGCTTGGATCAGTTTTCCCTTTGCCCCCTCACAGTTAAATGTTAAGAAAAAAGTGGACTAATAAATGCTCCATATGCGTGTATGTTTGTGTGTGTGTGTGATGCAGGAGGGTGAGAGGATTCACCAGAGACAGAGTAGGGAACAGAACAGGCAGGAGGAGAAAATAAAAATGGGGAAAATCATTAATAGGTTGGACATCATTATTTCATCATGTTAATCATGAACTCTATTTCTGTGTGAATAGGAACCATTCAGATCAAACAACATGAGTAGAAATGTGTTTTTATTAGATGGCTCTATGGTACTTTCTACTTTGCGAACAAAGCCTTTCTACACCTCCCAGTGTATAAAAATTTGTTCCTCATAAAACAGTACCAAATGAATCCAACTGGACTTCATACCGTGACAAATTTTACCTACACTTGTTTCCTAAAAGAGATGTTTCAGTCCTAATAGCCAAGATCCTCTGGGAAGCAGGATCAAATAACAGCCACAATTGAATTCATAACACTGTGATTCCTGTATTATGTGAAGTTTCTTGGTCTCTCCTGTGTTTTTTTGGCTGCTTTAGTGGCAGTATCGACAGACTTTGCTTGTTTTCTCATTTTCCTTGTAAATGGGGAAGGAGACCATGCCACTCATGGCACATTAACAATAGCATTGTCATGACATGGGTGTTTAAGTGACTTTATTTATATATTCTGGAAACTCACAACTTGTTAATTGACAAAAATCTCTCTGAGAACTAAGCCTGGAAATTCTCCATTCCCAAATCTACATACTTTTTACCAGTCTTAAAGAAAAGAAGAAGAGGAAAATATCAAGAGTTCCTTTACTGAGAAAGTAGCCTAGATATTCATCTGTCTTTTTGCAATGTGCTTCCATCCACTAACTAGAAATGTTGCTTAGATTTTCTGATGCCAAGATCATGTTTTGGGTCTCCCTGGTGGTGCAAGGGGTTAAGCATCGCACTATGAAGCAATCCCCAGCCTCTGCAGCACAAATTCAATCCCAGTCCGGCCAGGGAGCAACCCACATGGTGCAGCAGACTTCTCCTGTCTTGCCCGCTGCTCCACTCAGCAGTGTATTTCAGTCAGTCTGCCTGTTCTGTTCCCTACTCTGTCTCTGGTGAATCCTCTCACCCTCCTGCATCTCTGTTCTGTACCCCAGCTCTTGTATGCATAAATAAATAAATCTTTAAAAAAAATCATGTTTTAAAAAAATCTTTAGTAAAAGGTAACCTATAAAGTATTGATAACAAAGCTGACTCTAGTAATTTACAATCTTTTAACTTCATTTTGTAATAATGAGACTTTATAAACCTGATCTTTGAAATGAAATTTTTCTTAAAATGGAGCTTCATCAATGGAAATGATCTGGGAAATGTATACTTCAGTGAAGTCTTGGTTCTGGGTAGAACATATGAGAAAGGAATAATGTCACACTCTTTGACTATTAGGATTATTAACTATCAATGACCTGATGTATCATTTTCATTTCTGTGTCATTTGCTGCAAAACAAAGAGGTAGCACTAATATTGCATTACCTTAAGGTTTAGATGACCCAGGTTTAGGGTTTGCCATCAAAAAACTATTCTGACTTTGAAGTGCAATGTACATATCTGTAGCTTACATTTTCACCCCGGGCGATTTTAACATCAATGATGACAATTCCATGTCACAACTTGTTCTCAGGAAACGCTCAGATGAACTCATTCATACTGGATGTGAGTGACAGAGAAGTCTCAGTGTACTTTTTTCTTTTGGTGGTAAACCTGGGTGTTTGTTTTTATACTAACAACTCTTGCACCTGAAGAAATGCACCTGTGCTATAAATGAAAAGGCTCACTCATTATTATATTTTAACAGATAATGCTTCCAATATAGAAATTCACTTAAACTTACCTAGTAAGGGTGTTAAGAAATACTTTGATTAAAACCGTATTGCAAAATACGGAACTTCAATGGATTGCTTCAAACTCTTAACCTCAAAGGAAGGAAACCAATTATAAATTGGAAGGAAAAAAAGGTTTGGGGTTCATAACAGATTTGGATTTAACAATATAAAGATCTAGCATTTTAGAGACTAATTAAAATCAGACTGTGGAATGCAGATCAAGTGGTATCTCAGGAAGGCACCAGTTTTTCCGTTCCATCACCCACGTTATTGAGCATTTTCTATTTCTAGGTAGGACTTCCCCTTAGTATTAATCCTTCTCACAGGAGTTGTTATAGGGAGCCCTTGGGCATTCTTTACCACCCTTCCCTCCCGGACCCCAAGCTGGGGACCCCAAGCTGGGGTTCGGGTGGGTTTCTATACAACCACAGGCAACATCAAGACAAAGGGGACCCTGATCGCCTTCGGAGCCACTGCTTGGCACGGAGGCCGCTGGAATATTTAAAGCCCGGTAAGGAGAACACTAATCGTGTCTTTAGTAAGAAGCACTTTCGGTCTTGGACTGTTGATCTTTAGTTATCACCATACGAATTTATTATTTTCTTTGAAGCTTATTATCTCTCTCGCCACGCCGCCTCGCACCCCCAAATCCTCTGCTGCACACCGCCCGGCTGCTGAGGCGAGTGGCGGGAGGAAAAAGGCGGGAGCGCGCGGGGTCCTGAGGCTGCGAGGGCGCCTGAGCGGGGGCGATAAGACGGAAACAAACAGAGCACAGCGGGCCGCACCACAGGCCGCCCCGCCTGGCTCTGCTCCCCGAACTCGGCTGGGCTGCCTGGCCGAGGGGCGGGCCGGACGCGCCGCGGCGCACGACCAATCGACGGCACGGGGGACGATTCAAAAGGCCGAGGGGCCAATGGAAGCCCCGGAAGGCGGGGCGAATTGGGGGCGGGACCGGGGAGGCGCGCGCCCGGCCGCGGTGGCGCGGGGCGCGAGGGCGCGAGGACGCGGCGGGGAGCGGCGCGCGCGCGGAACCGACGCTGGGTGCTGCTCCGCGACTCTCCCGGAGCGGTTCGTGTTCCAGCCGGAGCCCGGCTCAGGTGAGCTCCCCCACCCGCGCCGGCTCCCTGCGGCGCCGCCTGCGTGGCCCCGGCGGGGGAGGGTTCAGGCGGGGCGCGGCGGGTGGGCCGGGATCTCCCGGCGCCGGCTCTGGCGAGGCGGCGGCCTCGCGCTCCCTCCTCCCGGGCTCTCGGGGCCGCGGCTGACGAGGCGCAGCGCGCCCTGCCTCTGCGGAAATGGAGCTGCCGGTTTTAAATTGCGGACGTTTCCCTCCATTTTGGACGCGCCGCGTCGGTGTAAAATGATGCAGGGTGGAGAGGATCTGTGGGTGGGTGACCCTCCTCGGCCCTTTTGTCCCCGCCCTGCACCCCCGGGCCCGCTCGCGGCGCCTTTTTGACAGGTTAGTGGGTGGTGAGGCGGGTCCTGCCCGGCGGAGGCTAGCGGGAAAGGCGCGGCAGCCGGCGGACGGGGAAGTGCGATTGCAAAAGTTGACTTTAGCAGGCGCGGGCTGTCCCTGGCCTTGCGATGCGTGCCGCCTGGGTTTGGTGATCCTCCGGTGCCTCCAGATTCTTGTGCAAAAAGGGCTGCTCGCTTGTGTGTGTTGAAATCCTTTGCTTGGTGTCGCCGCATCTTCCAAAAACCTACAGTTAACCGGGTTTGCGTGCTTCTGCTGAATCGTGATCCTGTGTTTTCAAATCTCATAAGGCGTAAAAAAAGTTATTTATATTGATACCGTTCAGCAGTCTCAAGGGGGCACTTAGTGAGCACTTGATGGCGAGGGCCTGATTCCAGGGCCTTCACTCTAGTGATTGCACGGTGGGGAGTCACGCTGTGGGTCTCAGAAGGACCCAGTAGATATACTGGACAGCACGTGGATCATCTAAGGGTTCATTCAGCCTGGAGCGGGTGCGTTTTTCTCCAGAGTGGAGCAAGCGCTAGTCTGGCCGCATTCTCTTAGTTCCGGCCCCCAGGGACCTTGCAAATAAAGTTGCCTAACTAATTACACTATGGAGCTTCACTGCGTGGAGATGGGTGCTATGGGAGGAGAACAGGAGCTTCCAAATTGGATGGTTTAAGTTTAGTTTCTAAGAGCTGTCCAGGAAGGAGGGACGAGAGTGACTAGTTAGACGTTATCTTCAGGTATTTATCTTCAGGGGAAACTTCAGGCCGTTCTGCCTCTACCGCCAGGAAGGTGGCTTTTCTTTTGCGTCCTGCAGCTGGGGCTTGGAACCAGGCCAGGGGTCCGTATTTGCATTTTGCCTAATAAGCCAACCTTGGGCTCAGGTGTTGAGGGGGAGATTGTCTATCTTTCCTTGCGCTTCCCTTTCCTTGCAACATTTCAACTAATTGAGGAAAGGAAAGGTGACAAAAGACCCGAGTAGCACTGCGATGAACAGAATTGCAGCGTTTTGCTGTGTTGACAAATAACATATTGGAACTGAAATGTGTGAGGATTCCAGTACCAGTTGACACTAAAGTGACTGCATAGAGAAAAGATTGGGGTCCCCACGTTCCCACTCCTTGTGGAAAATGAAGACATTGTGTTCAGCAAACACAGTTTTTCTTTGTAAACTGTCCCTTCGAAGGGACGCCAATCCATATGTCTTTTGACTCATTTAAGATGAGTGTATGCACAAACATCTCCAGGCTTTTGTGTACTATCCTGGCTAATTCTCTCCTGTAGGAGATTATAGAAGGGTGTAATTACACTGTATCATCCCATGTGACAATGTGTATGCCTCTTGTGCAAAATGGGATACATATAATATTTCTGATTTCACTTTATGGAGCATTTATCTGTAAGATAGTGGTCCCCTAAGGAGAGTGCTGTTTGTTTGTTTTTTTTCTTTTTCAACTACCATATAACAGATCACTATCAACTCCCCAATTCTTGTCTTTAAAAAACTTTAAGCTTAGAGGCCTAACCTATTTTCCAGATACCTTTATTTAACCCAAAATATTTAGTTGGTAGCAGGAAAACCTCTGGCATTTACCTATGTTTAGTGTTGCACAGATATACTGTGTATGTGGTGTGTAAGAGTTACACTGGAAAGATGCCAATAAATTAATTTTCAGAAAGGTAAAGAATCTGCTCAAGAACATTTTTAAAAATCTGGGTAGCCCTTAAGTTCCTAGGGACTGTGTTTCAAAAGTATGTAAGAGTTGCTTGAAGCTTGAATGGCATCTTCATGGAAAAAGACATACTTGCCTTCTTCTAGACCTATGTGACCAGTGTTGGAGAACTAGTACCAATTAACAATGTTTTGATTTTAGGGGGCATCTGAGGAGGGGGGGTGGGGCACAAGAGCAGAGAGAAGAAGGGCACATTTCCTTCCTCTTTCTTAGATTTTGCAGCCAAATGTTGAAATTGGCAAAGCTTGCTATTGTCTCCTTTCTTTTATGTACCCCTCCTCCACATCCCAAGGTGTACACTACCCCCTGCTTTCCAGTTACCCCTCAGGTGGCTCCTTTCCAGGTGTGACTTCATTCCCTCAACTTCTGGATCCACTCCCCCTTCTTCCTCCCATTCTAAGCCCAAACCCACTCATTATCCCAGTGATGCTATCTCAGGTAGCTGTTAGAAGAAACAGTCTTTTACCTAATGCATGAATGGACTGACATCCACTAATCACCAGATAAGTAGTCCTGTTTTCTTTCATCTACCAAACTAGCTACTGTCTATCTAAACAAGTGAAACTTGTTAAGTTTTTTCTCAGGAGATTAACAGTGAAGAAAGGTGGCACTAGGAAAGACTTTTTCTCCGGAAAGGTTGGGTGATGTAACTTTCTCCTTTCTTAACTCCCCATTGTCTTCAAAAGTTCTTAAATGTTGTTGTATAATCATTCTTGACAGGAGCCTGGTGAAGGATGTTTATTTGTATGCCCTGGTGAAATATGGGGGGTTGCTTAGTTGGTGAGATGAAGGAGACTTAGGGGGAGATCTTTTTAAGGTATTGTCTGCTTTTTGGACCAGCTCCAGCTTGTTCAGTTCATATTGGAGTACAGAGGCACTGGTGTTGGGTGGAAATGTGAATCTGCTGGTCAGTGGAGGGAGAAACCTACTACCTGAGAGCTGGAAGCAACCAGCGATCAGTTGATATTTGAAAAAAAGGGTGGGAAACAGGCCTCTAGTGAGAGGCAGTCCCTACAGATTGCTTGTGGTTTCTTGGAGTATTATTTATATAACACTTTATGGGGCATGTTCTCATTCAGTGGAAAAGAGTGTTATAACTAATGTCAGCTATAGCTTGAGAGAGATGAGCTGAGGTGAAGGCCAGGTATGTACTGGTCCAGATATGTGATGTTGGCACTAACTTGCATTTTGGGCTTTAACTGTGAGAGTTGAAAGCTTTATGAGATAATCCCAAATTCACTGTTCACTATAGATTTGAAATTATTTCCCCCCTATTGTATTGTTAATTATACTTCCTTGATTTTCCCAGTACGTTTCATAGAGTTTATGATTTTTAATAAAGTTAATTTGTTAAAAGTTAAGCCTTTGTAAGACTATATGCAAATTCATAACCTCCTTTTTGAGGTTATGCCCTGTAGTCAGCCAAAAATATGGTCACCATAGGTGGGTGGCATTTTGCATAGTGCAAATCAATTGGTGCCTTCATTAATCTTAGTATCCATATGACATATACCATCTCTAAAAAGTAATGAGATGTGATGTAGAAAAAACAACCTCTGTATTATCCTAACTCTGTCATTCCATGCTGTCTATTTTAATACCCTCCGACAAAGTGGTTAATATCTTTAAGCTTTAGTTTTCTCATTTTTAAAATAAGGATTATTTATTTTAAAAGATTTATTTTTATTTATCTATGCGTACAAGAACTGGGGTGTAGGCCAGAGGTGCGGGATGGAGGTGAGAAGATTCACCAGAGACAGAATAGGGTGTAGAATAGGCAGATCTATTGAAATACACTGCTGAGGGGAGCAGTGGGTGATACAGGAGAGGTCTGCTGGGCCATGTGGGTCAGCTCCCTGGCTTACGATCAAACTCATGCAGCAATGGCTGGCAATAGCTTGATAGTGCTGAGACTTTAACCCCTGCTTCACCATGGAGGCCCCAAAATGAGGGTTATTTTTTTCTCCAGAGTCCTTTCTAGCCCTACAATCTTGAACAGTTAAATTTTTTTGAAAGTTATATTTTTTTTTCTCAAGCTATGAAAAAAGGCAAATGTGTATGCATTAACTCTCATTTTTTTTTTTTTAAACTATTCAGACTAATTTTTAAAAATGCCAAGTAGGAAATTTGCCGATGGTGAAGTGGTAAGAGGTCGGTGGCCTGGGAGTTCACTTTATTATGAAGTAGAAATTCTGAGCCATGACAGCAAGTCCCAAGTTTACACTGTAAAATACAAAGATGGAACAGAACTTGAATTGAAAGAGAATGATATCAAGGTAAGTGCCTCTTTGGCTTCCCAGAGCATATTTTTAGTAAGTGGGAAATAACTATTGGTTTGGTTTTCGGCTTTAGAGTGTTCAGTTTTGGCCTTTTGAAGGCAAAGGTCGTGGTCCAGAGTCAGACAGTGTTTTTGCCTCTGGCATGTATGAATGAGGCATAGTACTCTGTCCTCAGGGAGAAGTATCTGGAGAAGATGGATACTTAACACTGGTCAGCTGCTAGGCCTACTACATTCTTTGATGGAAATTTGTCATGGGTGGTGTTGGAGCACATGAAGTGAGAGAAGGAGCACTGGGTTTCAGGGAAGGATTTCAGAGGCAGTGACACCTGAGCTGAACGCTGAGGACAAATGGGAGTAACTGGAGATTGAGGGGACAGCTTCTACAGAAGGCAAAGGCTTGGGGCAGGGGGATAGATAGGTAGTACTGGAAGCCAAGTGTGGTAGGAGAAGGATTAAACAGGAATCAGAAGTGGATTAGTTTGCACTTCATCCTGAACAACAAATGTTTTTTTAAGTAAAATTTTATTTATTTACATTGGTTTACAATAATATATAAATTTCTGGAGTATGGTTTCACACCTTAGTCCGTATATAGGCCTTGCTTTACCCATCATCAAAATTCTTTTGCTGTTCCCACTATCGAATTGACCCCTCCCCTTCCCCCCCCCCTTTTTGGTAACCAGCATTTTTTACAGTTACTTTTTGTTGTGCTTTGTTAGTTTTTTTTGCCTTGTAATTGTCTTTTCATTGTGAATACCAACGAGAGTGTTCATAAATAATGGACGATTATTCAAGAGAATGGCATTAAATAATTTGACCCTAGCTTAGGGCTTTTTAACTACCTGCATAGGGCCTGGGCTTCAAAAAAATCTGATGTGTGATGTACAAATACTTACATAAAATATAATGAAAATGAATTAGTAGAAAACGGGAAAAAAATTATGTACAAAATGAAAGCCTCAACTTTTTATTATCAGATTCACCAGACATAAAATTACTTTGTCAGAATGCTATAAAAATTTGTACACACCTATTCTGAATTTCACTTCTTGTTGCAGATAAGTAATAAACAGTTCTTGAACCCCCTAGCCTATTGGACCCTGTATGAGTGCTCTAGACAGTGATCAGCAATGTTTCTGAGTACAGAGACAGTAAATATTTTAGGTTTTATGGGCCCAATACTTTCTACACTGCTGGGGCAGCTCTAGACAATATGTAAGCTCCAGGCAATATGTGTGTTCCAGTAGAACTTTACTTATGGACACTGACATTTGAATTTCAGATAATTCTCACATGTCATGAAGTTTTACTCTTTTGATTTTGTTGGCGGTCACTTAAAAAATGTAAAGCTGTTTGTAGGTCATAGGTCCACCGCACAAAAAAGTGTGTGGGAGGAATTTGGCTTGGAGGGTGGTTTGCCTTTCAGGTCTTGGAAAATCCTGGACGAATAGTCTGGAGTGGGTGAGGACAGAGTTAAGACATTGTTAAGTAATTAAAATTTGTAAGCATTTTCAAGATCTGCCTGTGTAGTTTGTTCAGAGCGAAACTGTGGGACTAGTATTTTTAATTGTTCTTACGCTAATTTCTCTTGTCTTGTCAACTCAGTTTTAATCAATGTTAATTGTAACTCTTGTGTAGTTATTGGGAAAATGTATAGCTGATTGGTTTAGATACATTCATTTCATGGCAAAACTGTCAAAGAAAAATTAGGGATAGAAAGGCATCTTTTGACATTACCGTTTTTCCCCTGGCCTCATCTGATGCCTTTTTCTGGGATGGTTTCAGAGTTATTAGCACCATGTTTCTTTTTTCTTCTTTGGGCCTGTCTGCCCATATCATAATTTGTGGTAAAGCTCTTTATCTTCTCTTCCCTTCTAGCCTTTGACTTCCTTTAGGCAAAGGAAAAGTGGCTCCACTTCCAGTTCTCCCTCCAGGCGTCGAGGGAGTCGAGGTAGTAGAGGTAGTCGGTCAAGATCACGCTCTAGATCCCCAGGCCGGCTGCCCAGAAATCCCCGCAGATCAGCCTCAGCCTCAGCTTCGAAACAGCCAGATATTAAGGAAATGAAGAAAGAAGTGTTGGAAGTTACATTGACTCCACTGGTATTGGTAATTGTGTTTGGGAGATTTTTATCCTTACATAGTACTTTGTCTGAAACATAGTCTTCCTCTTCATGTATATATTTACTCAAATTATTTGCAATTAATAATATTAAAATGTCAGTGAAGTATCAAATCTAAGGTGATGACTAATACATGAAAATACATGAAAAATGAATATTCAGAAGAATAGAATTTAGGAAGCTTTTTATTTTATTTATTTATTTATTTTTTATTTTTAAAGATTTATTTATTTATTTATACAAGTACTGGGTACAGTCAGAAGTGCGGGAGGGTGAGAGAATTCACCAGAGCCAGAGTGAGGAACAGAACAGGCAGACTGACGAAGTACACTGCTGAGGGGAGCAACGGGTGCCGCAGGAGAGGTCTGCGTGCCATGTGGAACCCTTGCCCAGCAGCTGGGGATGGAACTGGTGCTGCAGAGGCTGCGGGCATCTTCGCAACCCAGTGCTCAACCGCTGCACCATCAGGGAGGCCCTGGAAAGCTTTTTAAACACCAGTGAAAAAGAATGTTCTTAAGTTTCTAGAGTGCTGTTTACTATTGGGGTTTTTAAAAAACAGTGTTTAAATATAAAATAGGAATTGCAGGTTGAACTGAATATGTTTTTATATTATATAAAAGTTTATGTATGAAATGAGGCATAACTAAATTACAGAAACATTCATGTTCTCTTAGCATCGTTATATGTGATCACTTTCTTTAGTCAGAGATTATCATTCTAATGGAATTAGTTTTTACATATAAAGTTGGAAAAATCCTGGTATGTAAAGCCTGTAGTACCCTACACAATGAGTATTTTAGATGGCAGATCAAATAGAAAATATTTTTAAGTAAAAAGAATAGAATAAAGGTCATTTTAGTGAACTTGACATTACCTCCTTTCTAGGTAAAATGCACTCATACCTTTAATAAAAGATAATAAAAATCTTTAAAAACTAGATTGTATACATACTACTTTGTAGTTTGGTTTTTAAATATTAAAATGTTGGGAACAATCTGTGTCATATTTTTTGCATTTTTGTTGTTGTATTGTTTGGATACTATAAGGTATATAGATATAATTGTTAAAGTTAGAACCCTTATTGATAGACATTCTACTTTTTTTCTTTCTAAATTTTTACTATTATCAATAAAAATTCTTATACAACTTCTGATACTTCCTTAGGGTAAGTTCTTACATGTGGATTTGCCAGGTCGGATGTATAGAGCAGATTTGAGGCTCTTCTACAAATTGCCAGATTTCTTCAAGTTTATACCCTATCAGTAATCTTTGAATACTGAAATCCTGTTCCAAGTATTACAGTAATATATTTTTTCCTAATATGATTATCGGGGATTTTCCACTTACTGTTTTAAAAAAGTTGCATTTTGGTAATTAATTACTGGTGAGTTTGAATATTCTGACTGTCAGTGAATGACTCTCTGGGTCAGGTGAGTCAGGTTAAAAGAATAGGTAAGGCATGTTGCTTTCTGTCACATTTCTTTTTTTTTTTTAGCATTCAGTGACCTTTATCTTTTCTAAAGTGTCACCTTTTTATAGTCCTGGCTAACCAAAGGCTAGAGACTGACTTTGTTGCTCATTGGTGGAGTTCTGGACTCACCATGTACTGGAGTTGGGGGTGGTGTGTCACATGGGAAAAACAATACTTACAGTGCACTAGATTTGAACATCATGTTACCTGTTCTAATTGATGGATCATGATCGCTTGCAATAATCCTTTCACAAACTCACTGTGTGAGTATCCTGTTAATTTGTAGTCAATACAGTTTAGGGTTGGCTAACTATGTTACAGGATTACATTTGGGTTACTATAGATTATATATTAGACATTTGAATACTGAGAATATAGTTTTTTTGGTGGGTCCATTTGCTGCTAAGTGACTCACAGGTACTTAGGTGAACCTAAAAAGTGTATGTCCAGTGTTGTTACTGCACATTTAGACCTTCATTGGAATTAAAACTTGATACTATATTAAAGCTGTGCTCTGCCAGCTATCCTCCCAAGGATGTGCTTATGTTTTATTTGTTTTCCTCCTGTTAGTTACTAGTTTTAGTTTATTAGTTTATTAGTGTTTATAGTTTACTGGGGCATATACAGCAGCAAAGTGACAGATTTCAGCCATGCATTGCCTAAAACATCTTTCGCAAGTCAAAGTATGATCCCTGTTCAGTCTGATGCTAAATTTCCTACACTACTTGAAGAGTATGTACATTCAAGGAAAGAGACTGAGTTGAGAGAAGTTATAGGGACAGAAATTTGTGGTTAAGTAAAAACCACAGAGCCTGAGAACCAGAAAATAGGTAGTTTGTCAGTCACTAGTAATGCTCATAAGTACCTATTATTTTATAATTTTCCATTAGTGGCAGTAAATGTCTTTTCCATTAATAGGAAATAATGAACTAATTTGTCAATTTTTACTTTACCTCTTATAAATATTAGAGTATCTGTTGTTGAGCAATGAAATTATAATATTTAGTCTAATTGCTTTGAAAAGATGAAAGGTTTATGTAGAAATCTACATTGTAAGACTCAAAAATTTAGTCTATTTTATTCCTTTTTGTTTTTGATAAAAGTTGGCTGAAACTCTTCGGAATTAAGGCGGTAGAAATCTTTATTGTTTAATTTCATAATAATAAACTTTACTGTCATGTTCCTTTTCAATTTAATTTTTCCATCATGTTCTTATGGTTAAAATCTTTTATGGTCTTCAATTTAGAAACCATTTGGAAACAGCATTAGCCGATACAATGGGGAGCCTGAGCACATGGAGAAGAATGACATACCCCACAAAAACACACAGGTCTGAAAGTGTTCATTTTCATCTCAGATAATTGTTTTCTTTGTTAAAGTGATTTCCCTAAAGAAGCACATTGAAAACCACAATATTTTCTTACAATCTTTTCTAAAATTCTGTCCTAGTATTTTTACTAGTATATAGCTATATTAAGATACTGAATTAGTTAATGTGGTACTATTAGTGATAATTATTGGCTACACTTATTTCATATAGTTTCTCTTTTTTCACTAGGAAAAATTCCATTTGTCACAAGAAAGTAGTTACATATCTACACAGCACAGCCTTCGTCCGAGAAGAGATGAGCTCAAATTAAAAGACATCGATTTTAAGGAAGAAAAAATTGTTACAAAAGGACCTCCATCATTGAGAACCTTTGAAGTGACACCCCCACAGAAGAAAGAGTTAGAATTTGGAGGAGTACCTGGTAGGCACCAGAATTGGGTTTAAGGAGGGCAAGCAGGGTAGGCAAGTGGTAGTTGTCATCAGGTGGACAGGAAAGGCCTTTCTCTGAAGAAATGTCACGCAGTCCAGGAAATGAGCTTGGGGAAGTAGGGGCAAGAGCCTTCTAGTTAGAAGGAACTGCAGGTGCAAAAGACCTGAGGTGGAGTATTTTTGAGGATTATTATAGAGTAGAAGGAGTGCTCATGCAGCTTTGTTTGAAATTTAGCAATCTATTACATGAGTAGAGACATGTAAAAGAAATGAAAAAGGCAAGGCTAACATGACTGTTGTAAATAGGAGAGATGGTGAATTATCAGAAACACAGGAATCTGCTAATAATCAACCCTGAGGCAACAGGGCCTGTCTTGGGCAGGAGCAGTGAGCTGAAGCTACATGCATAAAGTTAAGTCATAGAGTCTACCTGCTAGACAGGTTGAGTGTGAAGGTCAAAGACCGTCAAGTCTTCAAAAACTTGGGATTATTAAGTAGGTGGAGCTGGTGAAATTTAATGAGCTAGTAAAAGAAATGGAATGCGAAATGTTTGAAAATCTTGCCTGGCTTAATCACTTTGTATTTTGTAAGTGATAACGCTTGGCAGCTGGGCTGTTAAAGTTAGTATCCAGCAGCACTTAAAATCTGTACATATGTTCCACGAATGTGATATTATTTTAATTGTTAGAAACTTCGAGACCTAAAACTATTTTAAACTTTGGCTAATAACTTTTAGATGTTCTGATTTTTGATTTGTTGGAGTTCTAATACATTTGCGTAGTGGATGGATTATAAACGTAGAATTTGGTTTCTAAAGTGTAATTTAGTTAGACATCTGCTGGTTTACCACTTTAATGTCCTTGATTACTTGTCCACTGGATTTGACAGGTAGAGAACAGGAGTTATTTGATGTACATTAGAAATGGACTTAAATAGCTAGCCAGACTTGAAATTTGACCTTAAGAAAACCCAATGATTCTTTAAAAAAAATAAATAAAAGGGGATTGAAGTTTGAGCCTTGAATATGCACTGCTTGTTTGCAGGTGTGTTTCTCATCATGCTTAGCCTGCCTGTCTTCCTCTTCCTGTTGCTGTTGATGTGTAAACAGAAGGATCCCAGTCTTCTGAATTTACCACCTCCTTTGCCAGTTTTTTCTGACTTATGGGAACCCAAAATATTTGGGGTTTATCTACTCTGGTTTTTCCTTCAGTCTCTATTCTACTTACTGCCAATAGGGAAGGTAAGTTTTTGTTATGGCATAATATTGTGAGATTTTCCTTCCTCCTCTTGTTTACATAAAGAAATGTACAGTAGTTTCAAGGTTATGAGTTGTTTTTAGTTATAACTACTGAAAACAAAACTTTAGTTTATTAAGCCATTACTTTTCTATCATTTAACACTTGCTTATTAAGCAGAACTTTAAAGTCCAATTGAGGTTTTTGTGTAACCTTCCAAACCTAATAGGAAAGAATAAGTTATTTTGTAAAATAGCTTGACTAATGGGAGAGTTTGTTGGTAAAGAAATCACCCTGTCTGAAAATTCTAGTTTCAGACACAGAATTTTAAATTATTAATGAACTTGTTTGTATCTTTTACTTTTTTTTCTTAATGTGGTGAATTCCAGAAATTTTTTGTCAGCAACATTTTTGTTCTTTTAAAACTCACACAGTGTATTTAAAGTTTGTTCTCATTGCTAAGTGTAGTTTTTCTTTTAGTAGAATACTTCAACTTGGATATATTTAAAGGAACATGAGATTCTCTAAACAATAAATAATTCACTTAGAGATCTTATTCTAAGGACTTTGCAAGTTTATCAACTATCTGTAAACCAAAGGGTCAGTTTCATTAGAATAGGCAAGTGCCAACGATAAGAGGGTAGAACTACAATCTTTAAACATTTTGGAATCTAACCATAATTTTATGGACTCTTGTAAGGATTTTTGTGATGTGGAACTTTAGGCATTTTATGGTAAAACTGCAATAAAAATCACAAATTGAGATTAACATAGGATATGACTCATTTAAACTAGGTAATATAAGCAATTTTGATAGTTAAGAATTTTGTATATGTGTAGTCACAGACTAAAACCCAACATAATGTTCGTTACTTTTAGTAGCTAGGGATTGATAGAAATTAGCATGTGGGGTTTTACTAATCCTATGATCTCAAACAGGTATTAAATTTCTTCTGGGTGCCCCTTTCATAGCTAATGCAAGAGTAAAGTAGTTTAGCCCAAAGAGAAGTGATACCGTCTTGGTATTTTACAGTTGAAAGTGAGTTGTAACATTTTTGAATAGTTACTTTGGGGAGTAAAATGTGACTTGCTGCTGCAAGTATTTTTAATATGATTCTTTCAGCTCAAGTTGTGTATTTCTTGAGTACCTTTTGTATGGATGTCTATCTCTGTACTGAATGCTGTGGATGGAAGAGATGAAATGATCTTACACATGCTCACAATTTCTTATAGGAGATAAAAAAAATGACATGAAATGATTGAATAATTAGGTGAACATATATTTAGATAGTAGAGTAAGTAAATATATAAATACATATTAACTATCACATGGGCTAGAGTGGATTGGGAAAGTAGGTAAAGCCTGATTGAAAAGAACCTCGCAAATGTAAGACAAGAAACCTGTATTTTATTTTGTAAGTAGGGTGAAGTTATGGAAGATTTTTGAATTAGAGAGCCAGTAGATATTTTAAAGCACATTTAGTCTTGTGGCACATGGGGTGGTTTGAGGAAGGGTGGCTATTAAAGTCAGTACACTGAAAGGTTATTATTAGATTTAAATTTAAGATATATTCCTGAAGGTGGAATTACTTCATCGAAGAGTATGCTGTTGAGATTTTTGAAACTTGAAGCTAAATTTCCCTATTAAAAGATGATCTCCTCCATGGGCATGTTGAAATTTAAGTACTATTAGAAGACATAGATAAGATGGTCAAGTGTTGTGCTTTTTAAATTTAAAAAAAACCTTTTTCTTTTAAGGTTGTGGAAGGGACACTTCTCACTGATGGAAGAAGACTCAAGTATAGATTAAATGGTAATTTTTTTGAAAAACTCATGTTGATAGCTCAAATGTTTGAGCATTGTACACTTTAAACTGTCAAAAGCTGATTACACTAGAGTAGAAAAATAGTAAATTTTCTCTTACTTTGAAGGACATGCAAATAAACTGCTTATATCTGTAGCCAACATGTAACAGTTATGCTGTATATAGTAACATAGCCCCCCAGTCATTCTTTCCCATTATCCAGCCTTATTTTTTAGGAGCATTTACCGCTAGTTATAGAAATCTGTTTTTTGTCTTATGTATTTTATTCTGATTCATCACTATGACTTAAAAAGTCCTGCACTGATTGTGGGCTTCATGCTCTCAGGTAGCCACTGGACCTTTGCTCCACCACTGACTTCCAATCTTAGTCTTGGATAAGTTTCTTTGATATATTCAGAGTGCTTTTGCCTGGAAACCCCCCAAATATCTGATAGTGCTTGCTTCATTCCTGTCGCATCTGTGCGCAGGGAAGCCTCAGATCCCTTTCTCTCCTGTTTTGTTAGGAGTATGTGAGAACAGTCCAACTTTGCCACATGAAGATTTTGATAAAGTGCAAGTAACTTGCCTTTAAGAAATGTATGGCTAGTTTATCCTTAAACAATTTTTCATGTTAACTAGATTGAGTAGACATTTATTTGCCTTTTCTTGGAATTTACATTATAAATTTTAATTCTTGACCTTTTTTTTTAACCTGTCATTGCTTACCTTTCTAACTTTGGATACTTTTTGTTCAGTGTCTTATCTAGAATCCACTCTATTTGAAATTGGTCTACTGTACTCTAAAAAGGAAGCCAAAGATAATTTAGATCTGCCTTCTGCCTTTTGTGCCGAGAATGTAAAGCATCAAATTGAGCTCAGTATCTGGCCCATCGAATTTGCTGTTACTGTTATTGTTATTTACTTTTACTGAATTCCTTGTTGCTGGAACCAGGTTTAGAATCGCTGTGTCTCTTTTTTCTATCACTGTCTCTGTCTTACTCTCTTGCCTTGCAGATCCAGTGAGACTGAGTCTGGGAGGGTGGAGTGTTTAATATATTGCCATCAGGTCTGTTGATATTAGTGTTTCATGGGATTCCCTCTAGTGTATGATTTACTGTATTACTTTTCTAAATGATTTCATACTTGTGAGTGCAGTACCTGGACTTGGAACTGTTAGAGAGCCAGTTGGCAGTGGCTGGATTGGTTGTTTGATCCTTTTAAATATTTCCTTATCTGGTTGCTCTGGCTCTGGTATAAGATTTCTCTTCATGAGATTTTGGTGTTACAAACTAAGGAGATTTCTTTTTTTTTTTTTAAAGATTTATTTACTTATATTTATATAAGAGCTGGGGTACAGGCCAGAGGCACTGGAGGGTGAGAGGATTCACCAGAGACAGAGCGGGGAGCAGAACAGGCAGAGGACAGAAATACACTGTTGAGGGGAGCAGCGGGCACCATAGGAGAGGTCTGCCACGCCATGTGGGAATCTCCCTGGCCTGCCAGGAATCAAACCGGAGCGGCAGAGGCTGCGGACAGCTTTACAGCGCTGCGCTCAACCCGCTGCACCACCGGGAGGCCCACAAACTAAGGAGATTTCTAAGACATTCTGAAAGATGATTTTAAATCCACATAGGCTAGAGGGTAAGAAATGCTTTGTAATTCTTTTTTTTTAATATTCACACATTTTCTGAGAGTTAAGTAAATGTTCAGAAAGTTAAAGGAAAAGTTACAGAAGTTCAGAGTGACACTTTTGAATAAGCCTGATATGTGGAAATGTAGATTTAAATAATAAATCAGAGGGTCTCCCCTTGTGGCTCAGGTGGTTGAGCACAGCGCTGTGAAGCTGTCTGCAACCTTTGCAGTATTGGTTTGATCCCAGCTGGCCGGCAAGAATACCACATGGCGTGGCAGACCTCTCCTGCCTCGCCTGCTGCTCCCCTCACAAGTGTATTTCAGTCACTCTGCCTGTTCTGCTCCCCACTCTGTCTCTAGTGAATCCTCTCACCCTCCCACGCATCTGGCTAGTACCCTGGTTCTTGTATGCATGAATAAATAAATCTTTAAAAAAAAAAAGAGGAAATAAAAAAATAATAAATTAGAGATCACTATTTCACTTTATAAAAGTTTTGATTTTAGAATTCTTTTATAATTAATAGCTACCTCTTTTATGTGTTTGACTGATTATCCAATTGTAATTTGACAACTTACTCAGAACACAGCCCTTGGAGGCACTGAACTCCTGAAATGAAAGCTATTTCCTCAGCTAAAAGAAAAAAACAGATAGCCTGTCAGTGTGCTCATTCACTGCGCTGGTCGACCAAAGCAGGGTGCACTTGGAACAAGAGCTCCTCTATGAACCTCATGGTTTGTTTTTTTTTTTAAATTTGGAATTGTGTGTGAAAGTCTCTGGGTCCACAGACCCTATCTGATGTCCCCACCAACTCGAGCCCCTCAGTACCTGCCTAGCCTCAGGAATATTTGTGTTGTGGCCACCGCTTTGAGGGCAGGGTCTTAAGATATGTGTTTGGGATGGTAAAAATATTACCAGGATCTTTTGAAACCATTATTGATTTAAGTTATTTCAAGTAAAAATATTTATATTTTGATGCTTACCAGAATTGCCCTAAAGACTCTAAAATCTGTGATCCATTTCTGTTAGTAGTTAGCCATTTGACTTTGGGTCTGAGAGTTTGAATTATGTCAATTTGAGGTTCTTTGCAGCTTTCTAATAGGGGCTTTCTGTGTACTTTTCAGCTTAATTAAAAGCAGGTAACGACTACTCACAATGAAAAAGAACAACTTAGTATGTCAGAATATATGAAAAATTGTGTGAGAGATACACAATATCTGTATTGAAGATTAGCCCTCAGAGGCATTGTTCACGTATTATGTGTATTTGACTTGAAAAACGGAATTAAGACTTTTTAAAATAGCATTACATTGTTTTATGATGGTGTGAATCTCATGTGAACCCTGGGCTAATGTGAATATTTTGCCTTTTTCTTTTTTAAGGATTCTGTGCTTTCATCCTGACATCTGCAGTGGTTGGAGCTTGTCTCTACTGGCGCATAGACCTGAATTATGTATACCGTCATTTCCTTCAGCTTGCATTCGCAGCCACTGTTTTTGCTGTGGTCTTGAGTGTGTATCTCTACACACGGGCTTTGAAAGCACGCAGGGATGAGTTGTCGCCTGCAAGCTCTGGTGAGCAGGGTAGAAATTGTGTCATGAAAGCATCCTATAGCCCTTTAACAGCCGTTTCTACGCTTGTGTAGATTGCTTTTCTTCTAGCTTCAGTTTCTGAGAAATGAAGAGAAATAAGAAAAAAAAGATGATATTTCTTAAAAATTTAAAGGAAGAAAGTATGTTTCATTTTTATCTCCCTCACACTTTCCTATTTTACTATTAGTCACTTGCTACAGAAAGACATTTTAGGAACTTAGAGTAACATTTTAATAATGTTAGTAGCATTACAATGTATGATTAGTATTTTTTTGTCTAAAGTAGTAAATAACCTTAAAAAGACCCAGTAAAACAGAGGATATAAATTGGTTGATAAAATATTTAAACATTTGAATAATTAAATTGCTTATTTAAAAAAATTTGAGTCAACATTTTTTAAAAAAATCTCCAGGTCTCTTAAAATCGGGATTTGTCCCCACAGACTCCCATTGTGTGTAGCAGGATAGATACTTCCAGATCCAGCTACATCCCCACCCTACCTCTTAAACCCCTCAGTCAAGCTCTTGAATGCAATTGAGTAATGACCCCTGGATATTAGACAATCTTGGAATTGTGCCTCATAATTGGGTTTGGAATTCTGTTTGGGTAAAAACTTTTCCCTTCTCAGGAAATGCCATCTATGATTTCTTCATTGGCCGTGAATTAAATCCTCGGATTGGTAATTTTGATCTCAAATATTTTTGTGAATTGCGCCCTGGATTGATTGGATGGGTATGTCTTTTTTTTTTTTTTTAAATTTCATTTTAGTAGTACAAATTAGTCTTGCATTTAGAAAGAAATGTTAAATTAAAATGAAATATGTTTTGGGGAATAGCTTTCCATAAACCTGCCTACTTAAAGCCAAATATTTTCTTACTGTAAATATAGTACAAAGTAAAATGCCCTGTTAAATATTACTAAAAATTAAAGGATTTATTTCATTTTGATTATATCAGTTTGTATTTGTGTAGGAAAGTGATAGGGTAGATGAATTCGTGTAAGAAGAAAAAGTATTTTTTTCACCTCCAGAAAAAAATTTTTGATCTAATTTGTCTTGTAGGAGAGTTGTAAAAATTGAGTGCCCTTGTTTCTCCTAGTCTTCTCCCAGTGTTAATATTTGGCATAACCATAGTAAAATTACCACATTAACATTGTTACAGTGTTATTATCTAAACCCATAGATCTTATTTAAGTTTCACCAGTTTTTCTGTTGTTGACCTGTTTCTGTTCCAGGGTATTCTATGTGGTTCCACAATGTCTTTTATTTTTATTTTGTCTTAGTCTCCCCTAGTCTGTAATACTTGCTTTAGTCTTTCCTTGTCCCTCATGATCTTGACAGTATGAAGAGTATTGTTCAATTATTTTATAAGAGAGTCCCGTAGTTTGAGTTAGTCCAATGTTTTTTCTGGACTGGAGTGAATTTTTTACAAGAATGTTATAGAAATAATCTGTCTTCAGTGCATCATATCAAGGGATTTGTGATGTTGATGTGCCTAGTTACTGATGGTAATTACTTGGTAATGTACTATCTGCAGGTTTCTCAGCTGGGAGTTATCATCTTTACCTCTGTGGTTGCTAATGATCCTCAGAGAGGTACTTTGGAGACATACTTGTTCCTTTTTTTTTTTTTCAGGTGGTTATTAACCTGGTGATGCTTTTGACTGAGATGAAGGTATATAATCGTGCTGTCCCATCCTTAGCAATGATTTTGGTTAACAGTTTCCAGCTTGTATACGTAGTGGATGCTCTCTGGAATGAGGTAATTAATTTTAAGAGCAGATGCCTTGGCATCAGAAAGCTTTGCATATGGGTGAGTGACCTGACTTCTCTGACCCTCTGCTGCTTACACATGAAGTGAGGGGAATACAACCTTGCCTGCAGGGTTTGCGAGCATTAGATGAGATGTTGGTCCATGGGGTGTATTCTGCTGACAATGAGCACCAACAGATGGTAAGAGATTTGGTGATTAGATGACTAGAGATTTGGTGATACTTCTGTGTATATCAGCTGCTCTTTTAGGTGCTAAATATTTAAGCTCTGTGGACTTTGGCTTTGTGGATGTGACTGATTCCTATAAATAGAATTTAATTTCTTAATTACTATATGAAAATAGATGGATAATCAAATTAGGATAGTGTTTTGGATTGTGAAGAGGAAGTTAGTTCTTAAATCATGGTAAGATGTTTTATGGTTGATGGTTCATTCAAAGTACAAAGAATAGTGCTGATGAAATGGACATAAAATCAGAAGTGATGACACATTGAAGAAACCAGTTTAAATAAAGTTAAGTTCCTAATGTATGGCTTTTCCCAAACATTGATAAGCCATTGTCCTTTTCTGTTACTTGGAGATTGGTAAATATTTTGCTAATCTTCTATGTCTTAGCTAAACAGATTAAAAATTATTTTTTCCTCAGGCCTGTTTTACAGTTCTTTTTATTAATTTATTGCTGGGTTTGTAATCATCTCCAAATTCCAAGTTGAGTTATCTTTCAATTATAAAAACAAAATTGGCAGCCTATATTATAATGTTCCAAAACAAGTTTCCATGGTAGTCTGTTAACATTTTTAGAGAGGGTTCCTCTCCTTTGTGTAGAGGCATTTAAAAAAAAACTCTTTTATTTGCTTACCTTCCTCGCCCCTGCCCACCCCCCAACACACAGACTAGTCTTTGATTTTGGCCTTACATGGAGGATCACAGAGAATAGTCTTTGAAAATGACTTTGAAAACGCAATTTTTTTTTTTAAAATTTATTTATTTATTTACTTATTTATTTATACAAGCACTGGGTACAGTCAGAAGCGCGGGAGGGTGAGAGAATTCACCAGAGCCAGAACGGGGAGCAGAGCAGGCAGAAGGACCAAAGAACACTGCTGAGGGGAGCAGCGGTCGGCAGGAGAGGTCTGCACGCCATGTGGGACCCTCCTCTGGTGGCTGGGGAGTAGTGAGGGATCGAACCGGCGCTGCAGAGGCTGCGGGCAACTTCGCAACCCAGCGCTCAACCGCTGCGCCACCAGGGGAGGCCTGAAAACTCAATATTTTGATAGTCTTTGTTTTTGGGGGGGAGAATTAGCACCTCTGAGGTAAACAGATCTCAGTTACAAGTAGTCAAATTACAAATTCTTGTTGAGCTTCTACCATATAACACAGACCCAGGCTTGGAGCTACATGGATGTTTTTAGCATCTGATACGGAGTCCTCTAAAAATTCTACGTCTGCGCAAAGTTAAATATGCCAAATGATATTTCACTGTTGCTTTATCACCTCAGATTTTTTTTTAAGCTTCCTTTCTGAAACTTTTCAACTGATCAGTGATTCTTTCCTTCTGGTCTCTTCCTTCTAGATTTCTGTACTATTGTGGTAGTCACTTTTTAAGGGGCTTAGAAATTAATATTTTTCTAGAGATTTAGCCAAACATTGACTTTTCTTAGTTAACAGAAAATGTTTGCATACTGAGGCATTTTTAACAGGTAGAGGGTTGGAGTTGGGATGTTAGTATTTTTCTGTGTGCTATGAGTATCTCAGCAGGTGGTAAACTTGAGGACAGAACTGCAGT